GGTACCACGACCTTACAGAATACCAGCGTGAAGTAGAGGTTTACCTCTGCGTTTCGCTTGGTGAGTGCTGGTGGCAGGAGGCCCTTTTTACTGGAAATGAGGCATTCCATCTTAGTCCTCACGGGTGACAACGCATCTGCATTTTGATTTGTAATAGAGGATAAATGTAGATGTCTATGGGCCGCAGCAACCACTTAACATCAGGTGGACTGTGTGCTCGTTAGTCACCCTTATCCTATAAAAAAAAAAGTTGTCATGTTTGGCAAGCAGCTTTGAATTGCAATTTCTTATTATGTTGATCTGTTAGCAGGAAGATGCTTCTGCCCATCTCCTGTTTCACTTTCTTCAGTTGCCTCTTATATATGATAATATGAGTTAGTGGAGTGCCGCCTTTACACGGCGCCGGCGCGCTCAACAAAATGAAATCAATAATTTTAATTGCACCAGTGTGTTTCAGTATAGTCTGGGTCACTGTAGACTTGGTAATCATACTTATCACCCACAAATTATCCTTTTGTTCCAAAACCTACGTTCATTGTTTTTTTTTTGTAAACAACGAGAAAATAAAATTGCGATCGCTGAATTCTGTACCTAAGTTTACGATATAAGAGAAATTAGTTAATTAGTAAAAAAGAAATGAAAGTGTAAATGTGCTGGCTACCACAAGAAAATACCCACTACAGGGTTGGCTAATTTAAATTAGACCAATTTAAATCGCTCGATTTTGATTAAAAAATCATTGATTTAAATCAACATGTATAAATAAATGTAACAGGCAGAAAATTAAATAAAACCGGCTTAAATATATAATAAGGTAAAATCTTTTATTGTTTTATGTTATTCTTATTATTCTACAACAATAGTCTCATAAACTTAGTAAAATCAACCAAAGAATTTTTTTTAGAAATTCATACTTAATTGAACTGTAATTAATACAGTATTAATTATTTTACTCTTAATAAGTTTTAAACTTATTAAGAGTTAAATAATTAATACTTATTAAACTTTTAATCCTACTATGTCAAAAAGTGTTAACAACTCTTGAATTTCAAAATATACAAAAAAAAAATCAAAAAAATCATAATTTTATTTAAAAAATCAGCATGATTTGATTAATATTAAACAAATCATGATTTTTCCATCCCTGCCCACTATATTGGGAGTATTAATAACTTGTTTAACTATTTTCAGAGGCTACTTTGCGTTCTTAGAAGCTGGCAGAAGACACAGAGTCCAGAGAGTAGATGGCGCCTCGAGAGTACCTCGCCCCTCAATTCAGTCCGTCAACGATAACATTATAAGGTCAGTCTGTTTATATATATTTTGATATTGTTCAAAGCATTCAATGATTGTGCTCCAATTGCATAAAAGCAAATGAAATCAGCTTTGATGATCAATAATTTGTCTAATTGTATGAGAATCTATTGCAAGAAATATTAACATTATACTATTACATATAAAGTACACTATGATATGAACAAAAATAAAGAATATATTGTATATGTTGATATACGCTACTTATATCTATTAAGCTTTTGCTAATAATGTTATGTGATGTAATGATATGTCTTGTTGCTCAGCCAACTGGTGACAGTATCGTCAATCAATCTAGCAATCAACCGCATTGCGTAAGTCATCCAGTTTATGGCATGCCTCTACATTTTATCTGCACTTATTGCATGAAAATTTATGTATTATTTTCAATCAAACTGTGACACCACTTTTTGTTCTGTTGACTGTGAACACAAGGCTGTGATTAGATGTTTTCATCATGGGTAATTTTTTTTTTCAAATAATGTAACTTCTAGTTGGCTAAATATTATTTTATCTCGTAATACCATAAATAAATAAATTAAAAACAAAAACTAACCGTGAGAATTATGAATTCAAAAACACGCTTTAATTCATAGAATTATAATTAAAGATCAATGGCAGAAAAATAGTTGACAAAAATTATAGCGTCTAGAAATAAGTTATTATGTATATAGAATGACTTTTATTATTTTTCTATGATTTTTCAAATAAAAATGTATTTTAATTAAAGCCACAGAAAGAAACAAAAAATTTTGGGAATATCAAATGACAAATCATTTTACTCTATTCAAATGTTGCCATTTAGTATATTTATACTATTTTCGTATACACTTTGTAAGACTACCAACACAACACACAAAATATTTTTATATTAAGTTATTATTAGTAATAACTATACTATCAGTAATAATAAAAATAAAAGTGATATGGCTGAGAATAAGTCTCTTACAAAGAATTTCCTACAATAATACATTATCTCAATCATAGTACTATGTAACAATTCCATTTAATGTTATGCCAACACTAGCTAATATAAAATGTCACTGCTTTTTACTGGCTTTACGGCTCTGGGTTCTAGCCCTTCTGAGAATGTCACTATGATACAAAAGACCTGGAGCCATGCCAGAAATATACATTTATAGTATGCAAATATATAATAGAGATACAATAATCTAAAAACTCAATTATGTATTATGTATTAAGCTAACATCAAACAACCACAGGAAGCATGACTTTTTCCAAGTGACATAGGACATAACCTAAAAAGTTCAAATGTAAATATCTTTTTTTTGACGCCTTCTCAGTACAAAGTGTTTCTATTAAGACCCATGTATTATAAGAAGAAAATTAACACATTTTCGGTCATTGTCTAAACACAGTCTTGTAAACATAGACATTTCACATTTGTCATTCAAATTTCATATGTTAACTATTAGTCACATCTAATTCAAATAACGGCACACTCTTTTGGGCACTCCAAGCCGTCAAGCATGTGACACAAGCGGCACTAATTGGTTTTATTCTTTTAATTTTTTTCTTTTTTGTTTTTGTTATATTAATTTATAATCCTAATTTCCTTTCTCATCCGACTATAAATTCGAGAAGAACGCCACACAGAGCGGCGAGTAAGGCGCGTGAAACGCCCGTTCGGGCGAACAGCGATAGTAAGCAGCGTTCGGAAGCGGCTAATGCGACGCGTGTTGGTGGGAAGGGGACAAAAAATTACAGGATCGCCGAAACACGCACGCGTCGGATCGAACGGGAGTTCGACGACACCGACGTGATGCAGCGCGCCAGCCAGATCGTCTTGTACGTGCGACGCTCATATACGGCCTGCTCTGTCTCTGTCTCGCACTGCTGTCGACTTCATCAAACAAAAATAAGCACACGTGCACTTGGGTCACCTATCGGATCTATCAATATCGGGCCCTTATTCCAATTTTCGGATAATTTACTGCAATTTCAAATTTTCACAATTTCAAGTTGAAGTAAATTATTATAATGGCTTAATAAAAAAAGGAAAAATGTTATTAGCTACACTTTAATAATTGAACATTTTAAATACAAAATGTCAATATTGTATATTTTTTAAATGAAAGTAGGTACTTATTTGAATGACAATAAACTATGGTGATGATGTTGTTCTGACCAATTTTTGACCAAGCAATTTCAGAATGATGGGGAGCTAGGATAATTAATCAAAAAAATATATAACCTTATGAGAAGTAAATCTTAAGATTACCTCATAAGATTATACAACACCAAACTAGCTTTCCCAATATAATAATACTTTTAATATAATAAATTTGAGACACTTAAAAGCATACAGAGGTTTCTAACAGTATATTAATATGGTATTTAAACATTGATATTGTTAATCTTTTTAATTTGCATCAGTGATTACATTTTTTTATTATCTAATTTTGTTTGATGAAACTTATCTTTTGGTAGCGGTTTCACTCCTTTCTCTATTATTTTGGTGATGGCTTTTTGGTTTTAATTTTCCTTTTTTATCTCCTGTTATTTGTTATTAACATGGAATTGTGTTTGTGTGAGTCGTACGTAGTTGAATTTAAAATTTTGCCGCGCAGAAATATTGCTTTAAACGCATCTTAAGACTACATTTTGAATTAAAAATACATTTCATAGTCTCGGCGAGTTTGTCTGAATTATTGACTTTCTTTTTGAATTATTAATATTGACCAACTTAAATTCCTGATTTTCTTTTCTTTTAAAACTACTGTCGAATTTGTTATCTAAATTCGGCCGAGATTGTGAAGTGATTCTATTTTTATAAAAATATATTTAACTTCAACCAAGATCTTTAGTTGATCAAGCTTAATTATATTATTTTTTAACTATTGCGCCTATTGGACATGATTTGATCTGCAAGAGTTATACTTAGTAGCGGCTTTTGTATAACTTCTAGATCTAATTTTAATACAGATTTAATGTTTTGTCATTCCATGTTATTGTTATTTAACATTTTCTTCTGCATGTTCTTATTAAAAGGTTTTTAAATAGTGGTTGGGATATGGAACATTACTATTATCTTGAATGTAATAATAATCTTTGGACTGTGCAGGAAGAATAAGTCGTTCCGACCTAGGGAGCGTGCCAAAAAAGGTTTAAAGAACCTTCAAAGTGTTAAAACACTGGCAGGAAGAACGGCTGCTCCCGCTGGCAAAAGAAAACAGCCCTTGACTGTTGCTGCTCAGTTCCAGCATTCTCTAGCGGCATTAATGGAGACTTTGAATCAAGCCAATCCCTTCTTCATCAGGTTAGTTGAGTTGTTCACCTTGACAAATTATTATGTCATTATGCAGGAATCTGACTCGTATTTTAATTCTGATGAGATGTTTTAAATTTTTTAATTGATAATCGAATTTGATGGCCTCTTATTTTAGAGATGGTTATTATCTCTTCCACTGGCCATAAGATCTCGAGGCCCTAAGATTTCTAGGTCGTATGATTAATAGAAGAAAAAGTTTGATGGATATTTTAACGCCATCAACATACAGCTGTGCTAGTGGGGTAAAATTTTGCCTCATTATTTTGACTTAGAATTTCAAGTTGCAGTGTTTTTGGCTCAGAAGTGTTCAAGTATATGGTTAATGTGTCATTCCAGTCACGATAGACTTCGTGTTTATTATAATATAGTATACAGAAAATCATTCTGGACCGTATCTGTTTACAGATGTATAAAATCAAATGGAGACAAAATAGCGAATGTATTTGACGAAGACACTGTGCAGCGGCAGTTGCGTTATACCGGAATGTTGGAGACCGTCCGCATACGACAGGCCGGGTACAACGTACGGCTCACATACGAAGAATTTATACAGCTCTACAGAATATTGCTGCCAAAAGGTCTACTAAGCTCTCAGTTAGATGTCAGACACTTCCTTGCTACGCTCAATTTGGACAGGGATAATTATCAAGTTGGTAAGTGCGTTATTAAGTGTAGGTCTAAATAAAAATTGGGCCTAAATTGTAGTTCCTAAACAGTTACTAATAACACACGTCACAAATTCTGAATGGATCGTATCTAGTAATAATTAAAAAAATTAAAGTATTTGAAGTTTTTATTTGCTTAATACGTACATAATTATGTTCTTCTAATATATTTTACACAACATTATAAATATCTAATACACTTAAAGAGAGGTCAGCTTTTTTGCTTATGACTAGCACCTAACTAGAAATAGCTCTTTCCCACTTCGAGATAATTTATGGTTATCGCAACGATACCCATAAATATACACCATACCACTTCAGTAGAGAATGATTAAACGCAATGAAAAGAGACTGCGAATTCTAGTTTGCAAAAATAGTCTATTTATTATTTTATATGAATGCTAACCCGCCGTTAGTATAAAGCTTCCAAACTATTTCATATTTCAAGTAGTTATTACAGTACTGCTGTAATAAATTATTAAATAATTTTACAGGTGCAACAAAAATATTCATGCGAGAGAGTGAGCAAAGGAAACTAGAATATCGGTTACATCAACAAATTATGGCGTCCATCATAACGATTCAGCGATGGCATCGTGCTGTGTTGGAGCGACGGCGCTTCCTCGCTTTGCGGCGCGCTGCCATCATCATACAGGGTTATTGCAGGTGTGTTTAATCTTTAACCAATTCTAGGGAGTTGATTCTATATAAAATAAGAATTTATTTTACAAACATTTTAAAACAAAGCAAAATTGAATAGAGATCACCATCCGCAGAGATCGTGATCCTTGGCGATTTTAACGCCCACCACGCCGAGTGGCTCGGTTCACGTTTAACCGATCATGAGGGGAGATCTGTTTATGACTTTGCCTTGGCATATGGTCTGACACAACTGCTTACTTCGCCTACGCGGATTCCAGATATGGAGGATTATACACCTTCCCTGTTGGACCTTCTGCTGACCTCTCATTCGGCCGTCCGGATGAGAGGTCAGCGGAAGATATCAGGTTTCTGTCGATGCCCTTCTCGGCTCTTCGGACCATTGTTTGATCCGGGGTGTGGTGCCACTCACGCTCCCCTCGCGGTTGTTTTGTGCAGGTTGCCGCCGTGTTTGGCATTATCGGCGGATTGGGACGGAATGCGGTCTTTCTTTGTATCCTACCTATGGGAGCGGGTTTGCTTCTCGCCGGATGATCCCAGACCTGTTGCTGACTCTGTCACAGATGTGGTGCTACAGGGAATGGAACTACTTATTCCATCATCTGTGGTACCCATTGGAGGCAGATCTCAGCCTTGGTTTGGTCGCTCCTGTAAGACTGCATTACGCAGTAAGCAGGAGTGTTATCAAGCCTGGGCTGCGGCTTCGGAGACTCGGGATTTTAACACCAGCATGATTAAAAAGAAGTATAACTTCGCCTCCAGGTCCTTCAAAAGAGTTATTGCCAAGGCAAAGTCAGAGCACGTAGGCAGAATTGGCGAGAAACTAGTTCGCCTTCCTTCGGGAAGCCGTGCATTCTGGTCTCTCGCCAAGGCTGCCCAAGGGAATTTCTGTAAGCCATCACTACCATCACTGCACGGAGAGGACGACTCACTGGCCCACGCCGCAAAAGAGAAAGCCGACCTTTTAGACTCCCTTTTTGTGTCCAACTCGACTCGGGAACACACCAACAAGTGAACGTAGGAAATAGAATGAATGGAGCTCTACAATCTGTTGTGGAAAGTCAGAACTCAGAATGTGTCAAAAAAGGCACGTATGGCAATTCATAATGCTGTGTTAGTCCCTACTTTAATGTATGGTAGTGAAAGTTGGGTGTGGCAGAAGAAGCACGAGAGTAGAAAAAATGCTGTAGAGATGCGGTCATTAAGGAGTATGTTAGGGCTGAATCTGAATGACAAGGTGAGAAATTGTGTGATAAGAGAAAAGTGTGGTTTGCAAGATGATCTTGTGACCGGGATTAAGAATCGAATGGTACAGTTATTTGATCATGTAGAAAGAATGAATGAAGATAGAATGACAAAGCAAATTTATATTGCAGATGTGAACTGCACAGTTGGGAAGGGACGCCCTAGAAGGAACTTATCCTATAAAAAAAGTTTATTGACAAAATTGGCGATATATTGAAAATGAGCCAAATTAGGAGTACGCTTAACTGACAAGTATGTATGCGTAGTTATATGGATGTAAAGGATGCGAGAGAGGTGTGTCAGGATCGTGTCAAATGGAAGTCCGTAGTCTCTGCCTACCCCTCTGAGTGACTGGCGTGGGTGTTTATGTTATATTGTTTTTTTAAATGTTTTGGTGTTGAAATATAAAATGGGGACACGGAGTACATGGAATTTTTCATATAACTATTACTTTTAATAGTTACAAACATTAAATAATTAATAATTAAATACATTATAGACATTAATTTTAACATTCGACTTAAATATGAATTTAAACTTAATAATTTAAGTAAGGAAACTTGTAGGAATCAGTTAAATAAGATTGCTCTGTTTAAAGGCCAACATGTTTATGAGGCTACTCTCTTTTCATTTGTCCCTGAAAAATAAATAAACTTATTATCATTTTAGCTGCATGAATTTAAAAACACAATGATCTTACACAGACTAGCCATATACGCAGGAGATATTAAAGTGTACCAGGTGTCTGAGGAATGAGGATACAGATGCAATGTCCATTCTCTCAATCTCGGTATATTAAGAAAACGGTCACCCATCCATAGACTGACGGCGAAAGTGTAGCTTAATCTCGCAGATCAATTGATCTGCGCAGCTATTCATTAACCACGAGTTGCTATTTTCTACGAATAACGCTGTAGGCGATGACCACGCTTTCAAGCCCTCGGCACACTGTTGTCGGGCATCAAGCATAAATCGGGCATTGGGTTTTTTGTGAGTATCAAATACTATGGATTTCTACTATCCTGGCGCACTAAACCGCAAGTCTCCTCTCGGCATCTTAGCAGCGCTTCAGGAGTATTACTAAATATCTATATCTAACTACACTAAAAGTGTTATCATTGTGACTTGGGAATATATTCCGAAGCTCCACTCAACCCCTTACTGTGACCGTGAGGTGCGGGTGGTTAAGTAAGGTTGTCTGGGAAGCTATTACCCTCTTACCTAGTACTGGTATAAATACAGGTTGTAAGGCATTCCATGTCAGTCCGTAGAGGTGACAACAACCTTCTTAGTTTGAAGTTAGCTGCAAGTTTTCATGGGCTGCAGTAGCCACTTACCATCGTTAGGTGAACTGTAAGTTTGTTGGACACTTCAGTTTTATAAAAATATTTTAACTAATAACTCCTACTAAAGTTTTGTTTTAACATGTATTTTCGGAATGTCGAGAATATTCTGAATTACACCTTTTATTGGATGGTAGACACGATATCTCAATATTTATTTAATTAGTATAGCTATTCAGCGAAGAAACGTAGCCAGCATTCTTGGCAAAATACCACAGGGAGTAGGACTGTATGATAATTTAAGTTTTTGTTTTAGATTTTCTTGTATATATTTTCTTAAAATATTAAAAATACAATAGTATATATTTCAATGTTTCATTATGTCACATGTTTATAATTGTAACCATCCTTTTGGTTTCGCCGTAGTTGGGTAAAAATTATCTGCGTCAAATCAGAAGACACGAATATACTGCAATCGGTATCGATAGTTATAGTTGAGGTAGGCAATGCATGGTGCAGCACTATTTGTCATTCACACATGCACATTACACGCACACTGGTGTATTTTGATTTTGTTCTCGTCATAATTACTCCATTGCCATTCTATAATATACTATATCTATGTATACACTTTTATAACTTGTTATTAATTTTGGTTTATATTCTATTGTTTATGTTTTATAACTTATAATGGTATTGAAAGATTATATAGATATTTATTTGGTGTATATTTAAAAGATGATCTCAACTACAAGAACACTGTACCAATGAACAAAGTGATTGTTCCCGAATAATATAATATTTGAATTAGAATGGTAACGTTGTGCAGGCAGTGGTTGGCGGGGCGGCAGGAGGCGGCGAGGCGGCTGCAGGCGTGGTACCGCGGCGCGCGCGTGCGGCGCTGGTACGTGCGGCTGCGGCGCGCGCTCGTGCGCTTCCAGGCGCACGCGCGCGGCGCCCTGCTGCGCCGCCGCCTGCCGCGCCTCCAGCTGCACCGCCCAAAACAACACGTGCGTACTGCTGCACTCCAAACTTGCCTCACATCTTGTCACTACCGAATTTATTCAAAAAAAAAAAAAGAAAAAGAAAAATAAGATACTATTTTTATTAAATCAAAACTTATTCTTCTTTGGCATTTTACTTGTACGAGTACAACATCAAAATTCTATCAATTATTTTACTCAATAGAAAAAATGCAACAAGAACTTCTATTTTATCAATGTTAATAAAATGTGTGTGTATTTAATACTAATGACAAAATCTCTTGAAATAGTTTGTGTGTTTTTGTGGGCATTCATAGATGAGCATGTGAAATTATGTACAAAGTGAAATCTTGTCATTCTTTTCTGTTATTGTATCTTATCATCCTATGTTAAAACCGCTATAACAGAAATCAGGCAGTAATTTTATTTATTGTTTTACTTTAAATGATCTGCTTAAATTTACTAATTAAAGCCTCTAAATGTGATCATAACACATAGGTACCAACAGTCACAACATATCTTTACACCTGAAAAAAGGTTAAGCTCAACTTGGAAATTTATAAATAAATTTGTCTTAAGTTTTTTTTTGCCAAACAATTTAAGATAATACTAATTAATCTCTAGACTTGATATTTACATTATCATTTATAACATTAATAACAAATTAGTTTACTTTCATTGACCGCTGACATTTATAAATCTAAATAATTTTGGGCAAAGTCAAAAATCAATTTACAGAAAGATCTGAACTCAAAACCTTATTTGTGTTATTTCTTATTATAAGTAACATTAGTACAAGTAGAGAGAATTGCTTAATTTCTAATTTCACTTATCATTTTCACCTCACTATTGTCATAATGAATGTGGATTATCCCTACTAACACAATGATTTATTAATTATCAAGCATCGAAACCATTGAATGTTGTCATAAAACACACATGTACAGTGTTGTGTTGGATGTCTGTGTTGACAGCATGACAGTAACGCGGCCACCTTGCCCGAGGAGTACAATTCATCGCCCGATTTCGACAAGAGCCTGCTTGTACTCAAGAACATCATGGAGCTTAAACTGTGAGTATTTTATCACATCACATCAACAGCTTAGTCCATAGTTAGATATATATCTAACTAAGGACCCCAGTATATACTAAGACCTACCAAAGATTATGTAATCTGGTATTAAGAAAGTTCGGTATTGTTCAGGCAGGTTGATGAGTGTAGAGCCGATAGCCTCATACTGGTGATAATGAATTATCACTGGTTCGTGGATCGGTCGCCAAAGCCACGTCCATTGATCGGCAGGATATTTGTAAAAAAAAAAAACTGTAGAGTCATGCTCCAGCTATAATATGGTTGTAGCAGGAATGGGTTGGCTTGACCGGATAAGGGGTGGCCCTTTCCTGGTCAAGCCAACCAATACCTCTCATAGAATATCAGCGTGATATAGCAGCTTAATGCTGCTGTGTTTTGTTTGGTAAGCATAAAGAACCGAGGGCCCTTATTACTGGAAACGAGGCATTCCATCTTAGTACTCCGGGGTGATTCTTAATGGAAGATAAATGTAGATGGCTTTGGGTCACAAAAAATCAGGGCGAAATCAGTGCGTTTCTCTAACCTCTAAGCCTAGACCTCTGATTGAGATGCTGGGCAACAAGACTACTTGTATAGGTATTGTATCATGTATATATATTATACATCAGATAATAACAGTTAGATGTCTGTGATACTTTCTTGACACCTTCAGTTCTTCACTGGTGAAGAACTGTTAAGGGATTTTGAAAAATTCCTAGTAATCTTAAGTGTAATGTTAGACATATGCCTTTTTAGGCTAAACACCAGTTTTCATTGAAAGATTCTGATGTCTATTCTCATCTGGTGCAGACAAAATGGTGAATACAAGAAAAAAGTTCTTACAAAGAATAAATGTCTTATCCTCGAAAATTTTCAATTAATAAAATATTGAATTTTAAGTTCATCACTAAAATACTTAACCTGATATATTGGCTAGTGACTAGAAGTAACATTTAGACAAAAATAAGTTCGATAAAACTTCCCAACTTGCGAGAGGCCTAAACCAAACAAAGAATTGATAAGAGGCTAATGATGATACATTTGTTCTGAACAAATTCACCATTACATCTCATCGCCGTGTATCATTCTGTGGTTGACGTAAGAAACGATAGAAGAAAATTAGTCAGAAATCAGCAACAGCATCATCTCCGTGATAACAATTCAAAACAATAATCTGCCCGCCAAGCGTGGTAATTATGGTAAATATCCCAGCTCTATGTCTATGGGGAAACCTTTGTTGAGCATTGGACTTTGATAGACAGTAAATAATGATGAACGATTCGGAATTTGTTCCAAACAGTGTTATTCGAAATTTGGCTTTGCTTTGTTTTAGGGATGTGCTATTCGACGGTTCTGCGAGTGGCAGAGCCTTGCGGGCTACCTACTCTCTCCCAGTTGATAGGTACATTTTTATTAATTCATTACCTCAAATAGTATGTATATACAGATAACGACACGAATGGTGAGTATAACCTTGAATTGCGCACTAGTCGATTTGGGTGAAGTACATAAGCGTAGGATGGGTACGGTGAACATACGAGTATTTCACGTGATGGGTCAGTCAGTAAATTGTTATCTATTGCATGATCATGTGCCATTTGCTTGCAGGAAAATGTACATGTGCAAACTTATCCCTTTTACTGCCACTTTGTATGCTATCTATACTATAAAGCAATTTTATATTTTGAATATTATTGAGGTTATAAAAGTTTTTGTTATCGCTGTTTTTTACTAAATGCTTTTTAAAAAACGAGTTTTGTACAGTTGGTACATTTGCAGCTGCGATTAATACAAATTGATAATAAAGGCACCTTTTCATATGATGTTTATATTGCATTAGGTTATTTTTTCACATCACTGGTATTAAATAGGTCGTTTTATTAATAATTTATAAGTATTCCTTTATAAAGATATAATTTGCACTTGAGACTTAAATTTCTGTTCTTTTGTGGTAATATTTTTTCTAATAGCGCATATTTTCAACAGTTGGGAAACCAAACATGATTTAGATAGTATTGTTGCGAAGAATCAAAAGAGGAGAGTTTCAAAAACACAAAATATCAACGACTTGCCACTTAAGCATTCCAGTTCAAGGTAAATATTTATCAATGTTAACCATCATTAACTGTATTGCTTTTAAATATAATTCTAATTATCTTTTTTGTTATAACCAGCCAAATAAATCAAGATGCCAATGAGTCTTCTCCCGATGAAAGTTGGAATGTAAACAATACCAACAAATATCAGTCAGGAGTAGCTGTGCCGAACAAAATCACAGCCGATGACTTGGCCAATGAGCTGCTGTGGTTGAAGTTAGACAGGGATTATATTATAACGGAAAGAAATAAGGTACACATGATATTGTTTTATTTTTCCATTATTCATTGTAGATTTGTTGTATGTAAATAGCTATAGAAAAGTTTTTGTTGTATATAGATTATATATAATACTTATTAAGTCATTCTTATGCTTAACTTATCACTGGTTCGGAAAATACCTCACTCCTGGAAAGATCCAGCAGGTCATTCATATATATTTTACTATGTTGTTGTACTTATTCCCTGGGTAGGTGATGATACATACAGATACCGTAAACGAACGAAAGCGCGACCCAGCACCATGTATGATATTTTGTTAAATAATATTATTTAATCTCATAAGTTTATTTGAATATTGAAGCGCCATTACTACATGGCTGTTATGCAATATAATATAGGGATGACATGCAAGTTCATAGTCACCTTGAAAGTAGGTAATTGCATTCCATGGACACCTCCAATTAACTGCAACAAAACTGATCGTAGATATCAGTGTGATTTATACTGTTGAGTATCTAGTTACATAGAAGTTATTAATAATTACTTTTAATAAATACAGGATTTTTAGTGTATGTAATTGGTGACAGTCGACAGCAAAGTATAGCCGAATTTAATCATAATGATTTGTTACATTCAAATTATTTTTCTTTATTAATTTCATATCAGTAAATTTAATTTCATCTATGTAGTTACCTTCCACTCTATTTAAAAAAGCTAATATTTTTTAGTAGCATCTTGTACGTATACATCATGGTAAGATATGCTTCAATTCCCCATTAATGAGATGTGAAAATGGTAATTTCTTTTGTTCGGTTCGACTTTAGAATTCTCTAAACATAGTAAACAATTTTTTATCGTGTTTAGACATGACTTCTAGTTAAACTTTACACCTCAGAAGTGATCATTATTGATTTTTGCAAAGACTGAGATAGAGGTTGGTCCTAATCACAAGCTTCTGAATTTAAAAAAATCTGCTAATCTGCCTCACTTTAGTCCTAAAAAGTTACAAAACTTACATCTGTTATTTATAATACGATCGTTGCTGAAAGATAAAAAATATGGGATGACGATACAAGGCAATCGCGTTGATGCAATGAATATATCGTACGTGCGTCTAAAAACCTCGTGAACTAAACAGAGGACAGTCCTACAAAGTTGAGTGCAAGCTGGGTAAGGAAGAGAGGGGGTACATTACAAAACTTGGTTTTATTCGGTTAATTCTTACTACCTAAATCTAAATTAGTGAAAAACCGGTAAAGTACAATCTTTAACCAAAATCTATTTTGGTTTGGGGTCAATAACCGAAACCGGTTAAGAATTTGAACCGGTTTCCGAGCCCTTGTTATGATTCATCTGTATTACCAAAATATGTGAAAAAATAAGTATCAGTTTTTATTTTTTTTATGACTATTTGTAACATTTAGATAAAAAGTAAATACTATTATTTCAATTGACTACAGATGCATTATCAACCCCGAAAGACTTATAATCGCCCAGAACTAATTATCACCCTTGATTACTAAGATGGAATGCCCTACAGCCTGTAATTACACTGACTTATTACCTTTCAAATGAGAACAAAAGATTGGTACACATTAGTATGTGGACACAAAAGAAAATAAAATCAGGAACACATGTATACAGGTTGTCCGGTAAGTAATGAACAACCTCGCAGGTAGTAGCGGGCAGCACC